TTAAAATATTTTTTTTATAAAATTTATCCCAAAATTTATGACGTACCCAGTGATTTAGGATTAGAGTTCAGGGTTCCCCCTAGGGAGTAAACCCAAGAATAACTCAGTAAAAAATGAGTTATTTTTGGGTTCACCCCCTAGGATGAACCTCTAGGCTCACCATCCAATAAGATTACATTATTTCATGTTTGATATCTTTCAAAAAAAAGAAACACAATCTTGTTAGGTTATATTATGTTTTTAAAAATAAAAATACAAAAAAATAAAAAAGAATAATTAATTAAAACGAAAATAATTTTAACAAAAATATTTTAACGCTAAACCTTGAACTCTAATCATAAACCCCAAACCCCTGGGTAAATCATAAACCTTTAGATAACTTTTATAAAATAATTCTTTAAAAAAAATTATTTTAACACTAAAACACTACACCCTAAACTCTAATTCTAAATCTTAAAACTTTGGATAAATCATAAACACTAAACCCTAAACTCTAATCATAAATCCTAAACCCTTGGATAAATCATAAACACTAAACTAGATTTTGACCCGCGCTTGAAAAACGCGGAAATTTTTTATGATTAAAAATTTATATAATTGGGTTTTGTCTTAATTTAAAGAATGTTTTGGTATAAAATTAGTTTACCAAAATTTGTGGTGATAGTTTTTTTTCATTAAGTTTTAGTTTCAGTTTTTATTTTTAGATTTTTTTTTAAAATTTTGGTTTTTGGTTTTTAGTTTTTAAGTTTCTATTTTTGATTTTCAGCTTTTGGTTTGGGTTTTTAATTTTTAGACCCGCTGAGTTAGTTTGAACTGATATTACCAACAAACAAATCTCAATTAATCGAACATGTAATTTAAAACTGAAAAGATGACAAAATGATTTTCTAAAATTTTTGAAATAGTTTATTTTGTAATAAAAAAGCAAAAAATATAACCTGTGTTTTCAGCTTTTGGTTTTGGATTTTAGTTTTTAGATTTGGTTTTTGGTTTTGCTTTACATTTTTTTTAATCTGTAAATTATTTAAGAAAAATAAAACAACAAATTATTTAAAAGTTACCATTAAAATTTATCAAGATAGAGTGATTGTTTTTTAAATAAAAAAATATTAACATGTTTTAAAGTACATGATTTAAATAAGTGATTAATAATAAATAATTTTGTTTTGTTGAAAATATTAAATATTTTTGGGCTAAAACTATTAACATGTTTTAAAGTACACGATTTAAATAAGTGATTAATAATAGATAATTTTGTTTTGTTGAAAATATTAAATATTTTTGGGCCTGAAAATAGTAATTGATTTTTGATCCATTAAGGTGGAAAGTTTATTTAATGTTTTTGGAGTTTTTCTTTAATACTAAGCCCAAAAACCAAACAATTAAATGTCATAAAAAAAAGTAAGCCCAAAACTCTATTCCATAAATAACCGCCGGTTTAATTTAAGTAATGCGGTTTAATCAACTATAGAACTTGTATTATTTGTAACACTCTAGAAAGGGTCCAAATTTAAATGACAACTTGTATCAGTAGATAAAAAGAATGACTCTATTTTAATTGAATAGATTTTTAAAACACTATAAGATTTATCCAACGGTTTATGATTTACCTAGGGATTTAGGGTTTAGGATTAGAGTTTAGCGTTTAGTGTTAAAATATTTTCTTTGAAAACATAGTTTCGTTTTTATTAATTATTTCTTTTTGTATTTTTATTTTTGAAAACATAATATAACTTAATAAGATTTTGTTTCCATTTTAAAAATATATCAAAAATGAAATAATGCAATTATATTGGATAGTGAACCTAGAGATTCATCTTGGAGATAAATCCAAGAATAAGTCCAAAGAAAGATTTAAAAGTTCTAGTTTTACTGCAACACTTGTTTTGTTTCAGTTGGCTAATGTCATTCTTATATCAAGATTATATTTTATCTCAATTATAAGCATATTTATTGTAAAAAAAATAATTGAGTTAGTATTGTTTTGATAGTATATGCTAAAACTCATTTGTATTATGATGAGAAAAGAATATATTATTTTACCAAAAAGTAATATATACTAAATTTTATTAAACTAGGGACCCTAAATATTGAGGATTAAGGCTATTGTTCCATTTTTACAAAGAAAGAAACGCCTTGGTTTCAATGCATTTTACTCAGATGTTTAAGTGGAGTGTGCTTTTCTTACGGTCAGAAGAAAAAAGATCATACAATAGTACTTAAATCAGTTTTTAGAAAAATAGTTAGATCATAAGCTTACTACAATGGTCCTAAAAGACAATAACTTATTTATTAACTATGATTATTGGGAGTATTGGCGGAGGAGGATGATGAATCATCAATGATGATTACAATTCATTTTGGTAACGAAGAATAATATTTATATAATCTTACCGGACGGCCACCAAGACGTTTTGGTAGGTACCGACATCCGAAAAAGAAAGGGAACCCTTTTGGTAGTAGAGACGGATTTCGTGAGTATCCAGTTTTGTAGTTAAGAATAAGATAGTATTATCATAAAATTTCAACAAGTGGGTTTGCAGTATATTGTTGTGACGGATGTGAAGAAATAATAGATTAACATATTGAATAAATAATGAAAAACGATACAAAGGTTTAACTTGGTTTGATCCACGAGCAAAAATAGTACTTTATTAATGGAAATTAGTTTTTAGAGTACAATTCGTGCTTATAGAATAGAGTAAAACCCTAAAAATATATATATAGAAAACGTTTAATGAAACTTTCCATATTTCTCAGATTTAACACAATCGACCGATTCATAACTCCTGAATCGACCGATCTGTGTCAGGTTAGATCGATCGATCCATGACACCTGGATAGATTGATTTGTCAGATCGCATATTCAAGGCATATTTCAACAAATCTCCACCTTGACTTGAATCCTGCATAATCAGATGTACCAGGATGCACTTTTTCGTGCTCAGATGTACCAGACTCTCAGATGTTCCATCGAACTCAGATGTCAGATGTCCCGTCAGACCAGATGCTCCTCAGAGTCAGATGCCTTCACTTGGGCAAGACGCTCATCAAGGCCAGATTTAACAGCTTGAGATATTCAGCAAGTCAAGACAATGCTTGAAGTTGCTATGAGAAACCGGCTTAGTGAACATGTCTGCAGGATTATCAGCTGTTCCTACCTTCTTCACTTCAATCCTCTTCTCATCTTTCAGAAATAGTATCTCACATCAATATGCTTCGTTCTCTCATGATGAGCATGATCCTTGGCTAAACAGATAGCACTCAAGCTATCACAGAACACAGTAGCCTGATCATGATGAAGACCAAGATCACTGACGAATCCTCTCAACCATATTGCCCCCTTAGCAGCTTATGTCAATGCCATATATTCTGCCTCAGTAGTAGACGAAGTCACTGTCGACTGCAAAGTCGCCTTCCAGCTCACAATAGAACCACCCAAAGTGAATACGTAACCAATCATAGATCTCCTACTGTCCACATCTCTTGCATAATCAGAATCAGAATACCCAGTAACCAGTCTTGCATCCTTGTCTCCATAGACAAGACCCACATCAGATGTACCTTTAAGTTACCAGAAAATTTCGAACTCAGAATTCAGCAGTTCTTTCAGTTTCTGAACATCATACATCTTCCTAGAAGCTATCAGCTTGTCATCTACATACATCACCAGGTAGATATACGAAACATTCTCCACCTTGCTCATGTAAAAACAACAGTCATAAGGACTCATGTCGTAGTCCAAACTAACCATATAGTTGGCACACCTCTTGTACTCAGATGATAGTGTGACCAGATCTCATGTATGATTCTTCTCATGAGACTCTATCTCATCTTCCATTGCAGCAAACCATTTCTCAAACTCAGAACTAGAAACAACTTCTCTGTAAATGAATGACTCATAAGTATCCACTTCCTCTGCAACCTGCTGATCCGTCATCGATCGACACGATTGATCCGTCATCGATCGACACTAAAGTTTTAAATATATTTATTTTTGGTTTTTTTAATATCTTTAATGGTAAATACATAATTTATTATATTTTTTATATATTTTTTCAATTTCTACATATAAAGTGTTGATTTTAAAAACAAACTCATATATTTGCATAAATTGTTAAAATTCTGAAGTTGTAAATTTCAGTTACTAATTTTTAGGCAAAGGTATTATATTTTTATTTTTTCATTTTTTTGGTTTTTTTAAACTTTTAGTGGTAAAACACCTCAATTATGATTAGTCAGTGTAAAAACCTTTAAACTAAAGATTTACCGGCACTGTAAACAGAGGTTTTAATCCATTAAATAAAGTTAGTTTAGGGGTTTTTCCGTTAAAAACTTAGTTTAGGGATTTTTTATCCAATACAAACTTATTTGAGAGGTTTTAATGTTAAAAATCCTTTTTAAAGAAAAATAAATAAAAGCGGATCTATTAAAGATACTGACCTAACTCCCGGGTTAAGGTACATCTCACGGATAGACCCTTTCCTGAACATTCAAATGAGTCGAAAACAATAACTCATATTCATGTGGTCAGTGAGGTTCGAACCAGGATTCTCCATATTGAGTTTATTCCATCACTACTAGACTACCGCCGGTTAAACAGTTCAACATGTTACATGCACACGTCTAGAGTTTCTTGAGAACTATGATCACGTGAATTACTGAAATTGCCTCACCTCCTCACCTCCCGGGCTCCCCCTCAACTCCGAACTCTATTTTTTTGCTCTCTAATGGTGACTGGAACAAAATGGTCGAACACCTAGTCGTGCCAAGAACAGATTTGAAAAAAAAAACAGATTTATGTCTGAAAGTTGTTTTCTGGTGAGAAAGGCTTAAAAATTACGAGGATACACTGAACATTCTAAAATGCACAGAAAAACATAGCCATTCACCCAAGAAATAAGAAGCAACAAGTCCAGAAAGGAAGGAAAAGCTTGAAAGTGTGCAATGTTATAACATATATGTACAAGGTACGTGTCGACGTCTGTCAAAAGAGTGACTCAAAAATTTGAATCCTGTAGAGTCTTAGAAGCAATAGCAATGTCCTTTAGGGTATGTTTAAGGTTGTAATGATTTGAGACCAACATCTCGTTAACTTTCTTGAACCCGTCACCGTAGACTGGTGATTCATCTGTTTCAATCTGATTAATGCAAAACTCCACTAGCTTCTTCTCGAAATCACACTGGTCTCCTTTCAGCCATGTACGTGGAGGAGTTCGGGAAGAAGAAGCTGATGATGCAGCATTACTCGTTGAGCATCTTTGAGACTCCAACCACATGTGTCCTAGCACTTGGCATACTCCTTCTTCAAGAACCGTGTTAAGCTTCCTATACCCTGTACTCAAACCAGAAAACATTTTGATATCTCTCCTAATGATTAATACAAACAGGGTATTTCATATTTGACCAATCAGTTACGTAATATACCTACCTTTGAGTCTAAGATAAGCGTGCATCATCTCGTGTGCCAATATATATCCAGTTAGCAACCTAGGCAGTCCATATAGGATCATAATTGCAGTGACATTGCACTCGCGAACGAACCTTTGAGATTCTCTAGTCATGCCTATTATCTGCTTGGTTGGCCCTCTAGGGATCTGTGTACATAGATGTGGACCAGAGTAAGATGAAAATAGACAAAAGTCCAGTCTAGTTTTAATAAAGTATAATTTTGATCTTCACTAATGTCTTACCCTTGTGACAATCTTCTCTTCAGACAGGCAAATACCTCTAGTAACAACCCCATACTGCTTATTGTAGAAACTTACCATATGAGTCAAACAAAGAGATAACTAAGATTTAGTTTAATACGCATTCACTCACATTCTCTTTCTCAGCTTTATTCAGAGCTTGTTGATCCACCAAAATAAGAGGAAACTCTTTCTCAACCTTCATGTTTAAGCCTTTGAAAAACTCACGGATTTCAAAGTGCAAAGATTGGCATTCATCGATATCCATAACCGCGCTTTCCTTGCACTCGACGCACAGCCACCGATTGTCAGCAAGCATTACATACTCTGTTCCACGAGCCTGACAAGGAAACCAAAATAAAAAAGATCAAACTGTTTGGTCTTTTATTATTGAAAATGACAAAGCGTTGTTACACTAATTTAAAGTACTTGTAATTGTTCACAGCTGAAACACTTGGCAGTTCCATCATCGTCATGAGAAGGACAGTATGTTTCCTCCCAGTAAGGATGCTTATGGTACTTTATACCTTCCTTAGTTGAAGGAATCTGAAAGAAAAATAATACAAATCAACTACGTTTTTACTTTCATAAGCTTTTAACTTTATACTTTCATTTCATATAGTCTTAGTTAAGAGTTCATCTTACTTTCTTTGTGCAGACATAACAGTTTGGGCGACGATGCTCCTTGTAGCAATGTCTGTGAAACTTTCTCTTTGAGTTTGACACCTAAGGGCATCTCCAATGGTGCATCAAAATGAGGGAAAACTATTCACAAATTCATTCTGATGTTGAACTTTTTATTTGCATAATAATTTCTAATTTTTCAATAAAATTTGTTTTATGCATAAACATAATATTTATACATAATACTACTTTTAAAACTTTCATCTAACATATATAGACTGATTAAAATTTTATAACTTATAATTTAGTAATGATATATATAATAAATAAACATTAACATCAAAAATACATAACTAATACAAAAACAGATACAAACCTAACACGTACAACGTAGAACATGTTTTGATTGATTATGTGTGTGAAAAAAATATTAGTACTATTCTTTTAAATAAAATTCTACTATTGTATGTGATTATGTAATTTTATTAATACAAAATAGTGTGTTTTAATAAAGATATATTTTAGCTGAAAGTCTAAAATTTTAAAATAAGTGAACATAATTTAAAATTCTATCAAATCAAGAGTATTATTTGCAAAAAGTATTTGAAATATGAATATATTAAGAATTGAAAAAGAAAATGAAAGGAACCATAGGAACATATTACAAATTTATTTTGAGTTTACTTTATTTTCAGAGGAACAACGAGGGAAGAGATGGTCTAAGTCCTATAAGAAGTTACATGACATAACAAAATGAAAAGAAAAAAAAGAAGAGTATTAAAATTAAAGTAAAACAATCAATATCAACATGAGTTAACCTCGTTCATAGCAATTGGTTTGTGGCAATGAACGCACAATAAACATTGAGAATGCCAAAACGCACCAAAAGCCTTGACAGATAGTCCGTCTTTAATCTCATAGTTGCAACCATCACATATGCTACGAAGTAAAGCATATCGGTCATATAAACACCTAAAGCCAAAAAGAGAAAAATTATGTATACACTTGCAGAATCACAGAAGGTTTTACCAAAGATGAGGATTCACATCTTCATCATCTTCTCTCCTCTGACGTATGATGTGGCCTTCTTCTTCACTCCCTGAAATTTCCATGTATGGCTGAGAGAGGCGGAAGTGATAACAATGGAATGGGATAATGTCCTTGTTCTTGTTCTTGAGAAAAAAGGAGAGAATAATAAGTCTAAAACAAATCTCTTAATGCATCATGCATGCACTTCAAGTTCATAGTTAGTGGAAAGAAAGACAAATAAAGTTCTTCTCTTTTATGACCAAAAAAAGCAAATAAGGCTTAAAGGCAGTAAAACTAATAAACAGAGAATATATCAAAAGAAAATTCTTCAAGTTATCACGAAACAAAAGAACAGTTAATGCTGCATCAATCGGGCTTTTTTATAACTTTTAGGTTGATAGCCAGAACGGTCCTTATTATAAGGCAAGTAAAGCACATGCTTTATGCCACAAGGTATATAGCAAATTTTAGGGCCACATTTGTATTACAGATTCAGCATATTTAATGATTTTAAGCACTTTTGTGTTGTTTGTATTACTATTTTCCATATGTATATATATAAAATGCTACATAATTTTTATTGTTCTTTAGGACACATCAAAATTTTTGTGACGGCACTGTTGATAGGCAAAGAGTTTTTTTACAAAAATCAAGACATATCATGCAAATAGAAATCGGAAGGGGGGAGCTCAAAATCGCAGAATTTTGTCTTTAAGGTCCGAGAATTTGCTACCATCCCAAGACACATTTCATATCAAATGACAGTATGTTATTGTCCTACTGACAGTTTTTAGATAGGCAAATGCTTTGTGTACATCCAATGAAATGGGTCAGCTTTAGCCGTCAGCCAAGATACCATTTTATAATCAATGTGGAAGAGTACGGCGAAGAATATACACACGAATAAGCACTAAACCATCTTGCTCTTTTATTATCATTCCTATATACAGAAACTTCCTTACCCTTTTCATGACAGTTGTTGGAAATAATAAGGTGGTTTGGGACTTGAGCGGTAGTCTGAAGATAGCCCAGGAGAAAAAAAACGAACCAACATTGCTAAGTTGATGGCCGCAGACAAATTGGAGGGCACGTGAGCTCCCTTAAAACTCAACTTCGTGTGGCAAAGAACGAAAGAAAGGCCGTCACCGAACAAGCCACCATGATGAAGTTTTTTACCGTCCAAATACTCATTTGATATCAAACGACCTATCTATATCAGTGCACTGATAGTCAAGCGTTTTGTGTAAGCCAGTAAAGCAAAAATGAGTCAGCGTCAGCCAAGATACCATTTTATAATTAATGGGAAAAGTGAAAGGTTAAGAATACACTCGAATAAGCACCAAACCCTCCTGCTCCTTAATTTGCTTTCCTTTATTAAACCTCACTATCGTTTTCATGAGAGTTTTTTGGTATGATGCCTGAGAGCTGTCTAAAATAATATATTTCTTTTAAAAAAATAAACTAATGTATTTTTGTTTATTTTGATATTTTCTGTATCCACCAACCAAATATAGAACACGTCTTTATGTTTATAAAAAAAAAAGATATTTTCCAAACTTCTTTCTATTCTTATTGTAGCTTATTTCCATCTTTTAAAATAAACTCAATATTCTTCTGCACTCAATCAAGTGTGTACATTTTCTATCTTCTAAAAAGATTATCATGCTATTATATATACATTACTGAATCAAAAGCTAATATATATGACAACAATATAATCCTGATCATAAATATTGTTTCTAAAAACGTTACTAGTTATACGACGGTTTAAGCTCGCACATATAGTGGAGACAGTGGAAGTGATTCCGTTAATAGCGGTGGACGACTCCTTGTCCTTGTCAGAAAAGGGGAGAGAATAATAAAGCCTAAAACATATCTCATGCACTTTAAGTTCTTAGTTACTTAGTGGAAAGAAAAACAATAAAGTTCTTCTCTTTTGCAAACTAAAAGGCAAATAAACATATAAAGGCAGTACATACTACTTAAAAACAATGAATATATAGAAGGAAAATTCTTGATGGGCCCCCTTTTTATATTTTTTAAGGTTGATAGGCCAAGAGTTTTGTACAAAAATCAAGATATATAAATCGGAATGTGACAAAAAAAAAAGACATAAATCATAACGGGGGGAGCTCAAAAACGCACAATTTTGTGTTAAGGTCCGAGAATTTGCTACCATCCGAAGATTCATTTGATATCATGACCGTATGTACTATGTAGTGTGCTACTGCAAAATTTAGATAGGTTTTGTGCAAGTCCAATAAAGTAAAAATGGGCAGCGTTAGCCGTCAAGCCAAATACCATTTTATAATCTTATTAGCCCTTTGGCAAACAAGGATCAAGTTCATCTTGTATACAAACCATCCTCTTTTTTAATCTTATCAAAAATAATAAATAAATATTTTTATCTAAAAATAAATAAATATTTATATACACACGAATAAGCACTAAACCCTACTGCTCTTTAATTTTCATTCCTTTATATAGAAACACCGCTACCGTTTGCATGACAGTTGTCAGAAATACTAGTGGTTCCGGATTTGAGCGCTGGTCTTAAGATGGCGCAGGAGAAATAACGAACCAGCATTTGCTAAAATTGATGACCGCAAAGAAACTTGGAGACCAGGTGTGCTCTCTTGAAACCCAACTTTCTCTGGCAAAGAATGAAATCGATCATGTTACCATGATGAAGTTTTTCCCCATCCCAAGACTCATCAATCAAATCACCGATCTTTATTAGTGCCACTTTAAAATGACCGCACTGCGAGGTTTTAGATAGTCAAGCGTTTTGTATAAGCCAATGAAGCAAAATGAGTCAGCATATGGTGTAATTTTTTTTTTTTTTTTTTGATTAATCAGGTGTTGACCAGCTTTCGGCCAATCCACCACCTAGTGCACAGCGCCAGCCTGCGTCTGTACCGGTTAAGGCCTTAGACACGCCTCCCCGCCTGCGAATCGAACAGCTGACCTCCCAAGGTTGAGGGGCAGGTACCACTAGACTATCGAGTCCGGGTCTATGGTGTAATTCTTTCCGAATAATATACATACGAATATGCTGAGGGACTGAGGCTGACTCATTTCAAAAAATAAAAACTTACGAAATACGCACCAAATCCTCCTGGTCTTTAATTTGCATTCCTTTATTAAACGTCACTATCGTTTGCATGAGAGTTTTTGGGTATGATACATGAGAGTTGTCAGAAATAATGTATTTTTTAGCAAAAAATAATATAACATAGTGTATTTATCTTCTTTTTTTTTATATTTTCTGTATTCCCCACGCCAAATATATACCACGTGTTTATGTTATTTTAAAATGTTTTGGCGTCCATCTTTTCCAACAAACTCCTTTCTATTCTTATTGTTTAGCAATTCTTATTGTTTAGCAGTTATTTCCAATCTTTTTCAAGAAACTCCTTTTCTTCTTCTCTCAAGCAAATGTATACATTTTATTCTAAAAAGATCATACTATTATTATACATTACTGATCCAAAAGTTAATATATATGATAACAATATAATCCTGATAAATATTGTTTTGTTGATATAAGTTGATAAGTACTCCCTCCGTTCTCTAAAGATACATATTCTAGAAAAAAATTTTGTTTCTAAAAGATCCATTTTTTACATTTTCAATGCATATTTTATTAATTAATTGTAAACTTCAAAAAATTTAATTGCATTAATTGATTCTTTATTGGTTTAAAATTATGGAAAAAAATAAATACAAAAAATTATGCAAATTTATTGTGTTTTATTAAAAAAAGTGAAAAAGCTAGAATATTGATCTTTTAGGAGCAGAGGGAGTATTGTTTTTAAAACCGTGATATAAGACGGTTAAGCTCGCAGAGTGAGCGGAATTAATGAAGTAAGAGAAATTACCTAAACTAAATCATTTTCTTAATATTTTTTTTTTCATTATTTTCTTAATCACATTTACACTTGATTGCTAGGAGGTAAATAGACACTTATAACCTTAGGATTAAATAGTCTAGACTTAAGATTTAAATTTGAATAGTGAGGTTTTGGAGGGTAAGGTTTAGTATTTGAATAAAAATATAAAAAAATAGTTAAAATTAAAATAAAAAATAGAAAAATAGTTTCAAAAAGTATTTTCGAATTTGAAAAAGAATATTATTTTTTATTAAAAAATTCGAAAAATAAATTCAAAAAAGAAATCGAATTTGAAAAGTTATAATTCGAAAACATAAAAACCAATATTTTTTATTTTTTTATATCTTTAAATAATTATTTATATTTATAAATTAAAATTATAAATATCTTTTTTCTCTTTGATGAAGTCTCATACTTAGGTATTTTTGAAAATGTCCATCTAAAAAAAATAAACATGAATAATGATATCAAATGGAAGGTAAAGTGAAATTATCCCATGAAGTAACTACAGTTTCTGGTCATGTATGTATGGTATTACAAGATGGACAAAACTTAGGTTCACCCCCTAAGATAAACCTTTAAATTCACCTCACCTCTAATAACCAATCAAAGGGCTATGTAGACTCATGGCCGGCCCATACCCACCCGAGGCCCCATTCAAATGCAGAAAATGGGTTTTTTTCCCTTTATAATTTTTTATTTTCTTAGTTTAAGCTTAAAAGGGCCACAAAAACTTTTGAGCCTTAAGCAATAGCGTCATTTGCCTACACCCTAGCCATGCCTGTGTAGACTAATGAATAAAAATATTTAATATATTTTTCAAAATCAAAATAGTCATAAAAAATATAATGTCAATTTTAAAATCATTAACTAAACCCTAAATAAAAACTATATATCCTAAACCAAATGGTACACTATAAATCTAAAACCTATGCCCTAAACTCAATCCCTAAACTCTAAACCTAAACTGTGTACCCTAAACCTAAATCCTATATCATGAACCCAAAATCTATACCCTAAATCCAGACCCTAGATCCTAAACTCTATACCCTAAACTCTAACCCTAAATCCTAAATGTAAATTAAATTCTAAATCTAAATCTTATACGATTATACCTTAAACGTTTGGGTTAATGTTGATATTATTCCTTTAGACTTTAAGGTTATGATTTAAGATTTGAATTTTGGGTC